GTCGTGTTCTCTCTCTCTCTCTCTCTCTCTCTCTGTGTGTGTGTGTGTGTGCCTGCTGCTCGTTTCCATCTGAATGCATGAAATGACTTTGTGCTGAACTTTCCTTTCTCATGTATCCGGATGCAGCACATCCGCCCCACACACACACACACACACACACACACACACACACGGTGAGGGGGGCCTAATTAATATAATGCTATATACATAATAGCTACTAAAACAACACTGGTGCTACAAAATAGGTTAATATATTAATAATGAAAATTAAAGCTGTTATTATTTATAATATATAATATTAATAATATAATATAGCAGTCTATCATATATGTATAATAGTCTATAATATCTTACAAAATATTTGTTTTGTGTTTTTGCTTTGTAATATACACGTTGTAATTCTTATGTAACAAACAATATAGTGATGTAAAACTAAATGTCAAAGTCATTTTCACTGCTGCCTCTCAGCAGTGTCGTGTTCTCTCTCTCTCTCTCTCTCTCTCTCTGTGTGTGTGTGTGTGTGCCTGCTGCTCGTTTCCATCTGAATGCATGAAATGACTTTGTGCTGAACTTTCCTTTCTCATGTATCCGGATGCAGCACATCCGCCCCACACACACACACACACACACACACACACACACACGGTGAGGGGGGTTTGCGCTCGCTCTCTTAAGGTCGCACCAGCGCTGCTCGTGTTTTTGATCTGATGTTTTCGAGATGTTTTATGGACAAACACTGAAAACTATTAATGAGATCTGATTTAGTTATATTTTCATTATCTAAAAGTTTAGTACAGCTGTCCTTCATGACAAAAAGGAAGTAAACTGCGAGACTAATAGCCTACTCAATAGTGTTAAAGATGACCGGTATTGCATTTCTAAATCAGAAACAAAATAATAATGCATAAAACACTTTATTACCAGACACACAAGTGTAACTGAGTGAAAATGTTGCAAAAAAAAAAAAATCAAAGACACATTCGGCTTAAATGAATTGTATTTCACATACTAGCATATCAGTACTTTTTATTGATGATAAATCTCTCTATTGATTTAGCTATGTAAGCACAGAACGCAGTATGTACACATAACGTCTTGGAGTAAATGCGCAGATGTTGATTGCGCGCGTGACGCGCCGCGGTGACGCTCAGCAGCAGATGCGCGTTTGTTTCACACGATCCACCTTAATGCCAGAGCTAGTCCACCCCTCCTGCATCGGCCCCATGATCCTCTTTCATTCATCAGTGTGTGTGTGTGTGTGTGTGTGTGCGCAAAAACAGCGCACGCATCTGATCCGACACACTCACGCAGAGTCTGACGCGGCGCACGGACGCTAAACCAGCGGCGAACGCGCTTCATTCGTGGATTTAACCGGATTCCTTCTGCTTTTCCCCGCGGAGTCTCCTCTGGATGTTACGCTCGCGGTCATGCGCTGATTTTTGGCCTCGCTCTGGACATATTGATGCATGTTTGGCACACGGACCGATGGATTTGACATTATGGGAGTCTGTCTGTAGGTACGTATCATTCCTCACACACACATCCGTCTTATTTAATGCGGAATCGGGCAGGATTGGATGGAGATCGTGTGTGGATCTCTGAAACCGGAGCTCTGGGTCTCCACAGGCCGCTGCGCGCAACAAACTCGCGTTTATTACTCAAAACTCATGTTCATAATCATATTATGCGCTTCAGGCTGTGTGTGTATGAGCGTGTGCGTGTGTTTAAGCCCGAATACACACAAGGTACACACACACACACACACACTCCTCCCCCAGCGGGCTTGTTTTCATTCATAAGTTTGCTTTTTCTTGTCATTCTGCATTTTTTCCGAGAACGCGTTTTGTGTTTTTACGTATTAATTATATTTGTTAAAGATGCACGGATAAAACAATACAGGGTTAAACAAAGAATATAAACCGATATCTTTTTTTCTTTTTTTTTGCATAAAAACCTATAGTTGCGGATTGTTTTTATTGATTTAATGCAACAGTAGCGGCATCCGATATTAACGCGAACTTTTCTAATCTGTGCTTTTTTCGTTTTGCATGCTTACTTTTATTAGCCCAAATGATTTTATTCCTTTTTGCATGCTTAATTTTATTAGCTCAGACGATTTTATTCCGTTCTCTCCGTTTACACTTCTGAACTAATGAGTAAATCGCCGAAGCCTCGTGAAGTTTCGGACTCGTCCCGCATCACAAAGCGCTTTGAGAAGCGCGTGAAGCTCTGTGTTTGATTTGAAGGCTTCCTGCTCTGTGTGGCTCTGCATTTTAACGCAACAGTAGCGGCATCCGATATTAACGCGAACTTTTCTAATCTGTGCTTTTTTCGTTTTGCATGCTTAATTGTATTAGCCCAAATGATTTTATTCCTTTTTGCATGCTTAATTTTATTAGCTCAGACGATTTTATTCCGTTCTCTCCGTTTACACTTCTGAACTAATGAGTAAATCGCCGAAGCCTCGTGAAGTTTCGGACTCGTCCCGCATCACAAAGCGCTTTGAGAAGCGCGTGAAGCTCTGTGTTTGATTTGAAGGCTTCCTGCTCTGTGTGGCTCTGCATTTTAATGTTAACCAGCCATACACATGCAAATCAGGACGGGAAGTATTTGTACTTTACTTCAGTTGTGTGCTTATTGAGGTCGGTACAAAGTCTTGTTAATAGTCAACTCTCTCTCTCTCTCTCTCTCCGCTCGGGGGTTAAATGGCTCTGTGAATAGAAGGAAAAGAGCTCGAGACCTTCATTTCACACACACACACGCACGCACGCACGCGTACACACACACACACACACACACACGTTCGCTTCTGCGGTGTGATTTATGAGCTCTGTCTCAGAAAGTACATCTGCACACGTTCAGTCCAGATCTGCGATTTTAGAGGGTCATATCAGAATAAAGCCCGCGGTGATCGTGCATCTCCTAACACTGGGGTGTGAATTGTGTCCAGGGGGTTTGACCCTCTAATTAAGGCTTGAACCTCCCAGAGGAAGTCAAAAACAAAAGCTCTGTGGCCAGAGAGTGTGCATGTGCTCCAACGGGGTGTTTGAACGCTTTAGTAACCACTAGTTAGATACGTTTTTTTACCAGTACATGCTTCAAAATAATAGTTTTTGTAATCTGTTAGTGAAGAGTTCTCAAAAGAACCATTGGTGAAATGTTTGTTACTGCATCCATAGATTCGTGAAGAATCTTTAACATTCCATTCCACAAAAGGTTCTTGATTCATTCTTTAGATGTTTTAGAAAAAGTGGTTTGGTAACAATTTACTTGAAGCCTTTATGCTTAATGCATCATAATGTATGTTATTAGCATTATATGTTTTCATAAATAATTGTAATAATTTAAAATGCGTTATAATGTTTGAAGGTTGTTTGTTACATCAGAAAATGGTTGTTTGTCATGTGTTTCAATGCTTTATGCCTTCTAAAGGTCTAACGATTAATAGTTACAATTATTTCCGATGCATTTTAAGGTGCACTGCAAGGCACAATTAATGCATTAAAATAATTTTATAATGCATCAAAGTGTTACAGAACCATTGTTTCTTAGTTTAAAGAACCTGTAAAAATATAAAGAAACATTTTCAACTATAAAGGACCTTTAGTGGAATGGAAAATGGAAAGGTTCTGTGGATGTTACAGGTTCTTCATGCAGCTATCAATGCCAATAAGGAAAGTTTAATTTTAAAATGTTCTTTAGAACCTTTTTAGAATGTTTATTTTGAAGCACTTTTATATAATATGGCTTCAAGAAAAGTGTTGCCAAACAATTTTTGTCTTATTATAATAATCTAAAGAATCTTTTGAGGAATGGAAAGGTTTCATTGATGTTAAAGGTTCTTCATGGAACCAATAGATTCCAATAAAGAAAAATTTTTGGCTTCTAAAAGATCCTTTCAGTGGTCCATTCTTAAAAGAACCATTTTTTAAGTGTAAAGAACATTTTAATGATCTAAGGAAACTTTTTCCACTATAAACAACCTTTAGTTGTTGAATTGATGCTAAAGGTTCTTCATGGAACCATCAGAAGAACCATTTTTGCTTTCCCAAAGAACCTTTCAGTAAACAGTACTTAAAATAACCATTATTCCTAAGTGTAAAGAACATTTTAATAAACTAAAGAACTTTTTTGGAATTGAAAGTTTCCATTAATGTTCAAGGTTCTTCATGGAACCAGTAGATGTCAGTAGAGAGCCTTTATTTTTAAAAGTGTAGAAAAAAAAGTTTTTGGTTTTGGAACCTTTTAGTGATTAGTTCTTAAAATAACTTTTTTTTTGTCTAAGAGTGAATTTGAGAACATTTTAATAATCTAAAGAACCTTTTTCAAGTCAAGTCACCTTTATCTATATAGCGCTTTATACAATACAGATTGTGTCAAAGCAGCTTTTTCCACTATAAAGAACGAATGTTAAAGGTTCTTCATGGAACCAGTAGATGCCAATAAAGAACCTTTTTTTTTAAGAGTGAGGCTGTATCATAAAATTGGCTTAAAGTGTACTAGAGACACCAAAAAAACACCAAAAAAATGAAATAATCTGATTGCATTAATTGCATGTTGAGAATGACATCTCTCTCTGCTTGTCTCTCAGATTGTCAGATGAGCGTTGCATCCGTGTTGTTTGGAGTTGCTGATCGTGTCTCATGGATCGCCACGGTCAGAGCGGAGGAAGCCTCCCATCCGGTGCCATCCTTTCCCTGGACCAGATCAAAGCCATCCGCTCATGCAACGAGTACTCTGAGGGCCCGGCCGTAGCGCACAGACCGGCAACCTTTTTCAAGTCAAGTCACCTTTATCTATATAGCGCTTTATACAATACAGATTGTGTCAAAGCAGCTTTTTCCACTATAAAGAACGAATGTTAAAGGTTCTTCATGGAACCAGTAGATGCCAATAAAGAACCTTTTTTTTAAGAGTGAGGCTGTATCATAAAATTGGCTTAAAGTGTACTAGAGACACCAAAAAAACACCAAAAAATGAAATAATCTGATTGCATTAATTGCATGTTGAGAATGACATCTCTCTCTGCTTGTCTCTCAGATTGTCAGATGAGCGTTGCATCCGTGTTGTTTGGAGTTGCTGATCGTGTCTCATGGATCGCCACGGTCAGAGCGGAGGAAGCCTCCCATCCGGTGCCATCCTTTCCCTGGACCAGATCAAAGCCATCCGCTCATGCAACGAGTACTCTGAGGGCCCGGCCGTAGCGCACAGACCGGCCCCGGGGCCTCCACCGCGCAATGCAGACAAGCAGGAGAGGACTCACGAGGTGATCCTGGTGAACGTGAATAACAACTACGAGCACCGAGCGGCACGTCCGCCAGCGCTCAGCAGATCCACGAGCTCCGGGAGCAACAGCAGCGACGGATCGGAGCGAGGCCTGCTAGCGCCGTCGCATTATCGCAATCACGCCATACGGACTCAGCCGAAATCTCTGAACGCATCCATGCATCCGTTTCTCCCGCCGGACGTTCCTCTCAAACAGGAAAAACTGGACTCGGCGCATTTATACATCTGCGAGAGCTGCGGGAAATGCAAATGCAGCGAATGCACAGCGCCTCGTCCGCTTCCGGCGCGCCTCGCGTGCAACGGACAATGCCTGTGTTCGGCCGAAAATGTCGTGGAGCATGGGACATGCATGTGTTTGGTCAAAGGGATTTTTTATCATTGCTCAAACGACGATGATGACGTTGGCGACCCTTGCGCCGACCGGCCGTGTTCTCTGTCGCATCCGCAGTGCTGCTCGCGCTTTCTGTGCATGGGACTCATGTCGGCGCTCTTTCCGTGTCTGCTGTGTTACCTGCCCGCTAAGGGCTGCGTGAAAGCGACGCTTTCTGTGCATGGGACTCATGTCGGCGCTCTTTCCGTGTCTGCTGTGTTACCTGCCCGCTAAGTGCTGCGTGAAAGCGTGCAACTCGTGCCACGACCGCGTGAAGCGGCCTGGATGCCGCTGCAAGAACTCTAACACCGTTTACTGCAAGCTGCAGAACTGGAACCAGACGCCCGGACATGCGCCGGGAAAACCGTCCTGAGAAATCTCACATATTTCTTTAGCTGAAAAAAGCTGGTTTTGCTGCTGCAGGATGCGGAAATTGCAAATGGGGCGGGGAGGGGTTATGTTAATGAGTGCCTGATAAGCTCCGCCCCTCACGGCGCGGAAGAACCACTCGTTTGTTTTCTGAACCTGGCTGCGTTCCACTCCACTTTTAGACACGCACTTACAAACTTCCCTAAACACTTCCCCTCGGGGGAATGTCACTTTGAAGTGCGTTCCACTTCGTGAAGTGGACGAGGGAAGTTTATATGGACCGATTTTGATATCGGTCTTCATATGCACACTTCAGGCCGCTCCATAGACCACAATGCAACACGATTATGAAGTCGTCGCAGATCACGTTTAATTTATCCCCACCACAAACAACTCTACACTCTTAAAAATAACGGTGCTTCACGATGCCATAGAAGAACATTTTTGTCTAAATGGTTCCATTAAGAACCTTTAACATCTGAAGAACCTTTCTGTTTCACAAAAGCTTCTTTGTGGCGAAAGAAGGTTCTTCAGATTATAAAAAGGTAAGAAAGAGATGGTTCTTTAAAGAACCTTCGATTGAATGGTTCTTTGTGGAACCAAAAATGGTTCTTCTATGGCATCATTTGAAGAAACTTTTGAAGCACCTTTATTTTTAAGAGTGAAGGTCTGTGGTAAACATATTACAATACTTAGTTGTTTTGTCCTACAAGATAAATTACACACACACACACACACACACACACACACTCT